GCCCATTAGGTAGATTGTGATCTACCAGTAGCTCACAAAGCTGATGCTGGTAGATCACCATTGTAAGTCGGCTCACTATCCCGAGAACCCAATGGTCTGTGGTCTGTTTAGCCCCTCCCCGTCTGCTGCGTCTGACACATGAAGGCAGAAGCCGACAGCATGAGAGCAGCGTCTTTAGGATGGAGGGCTGAGCACAAAAGGAGGAGAAGTAGGAGGTCTAGCTTCCCGGTGTTCTGTAATATTGCAGAGCAGCGACTTTAGAGAGAGCAAGGAGAGACAGCCAGGAGAGAGAGGAGAGACAGCCAGGAGAGAGAGGAGAGACAGCCAGGGGAGAGAGCAAGGAGAGCCAGCCAGGGGAGAGAGCAAGGAGAGCCAGCCAGGAGAGAGAGCAAGGAGAGCCAGCCAGGGGAGAGAGCAAGGAGAGCCAGCCAGGGGAGAGAGCAAGGAGAGACAGCCAGGAGAGAGAGCAAGGAGAGACAGCAAGGAGAGTGAGAGAGAAGGAGCATGATGGAGGTTTTTTTCGTTGGTAGATCTCATGTAGCTTGTCATTTTGAAAAGTAGATCTTAACACAAAAATTGTGGGCATTGTGGGCTTTAAAGTGACACTAAACTCGGGAGGTAAATCTTACAAATGGATTTAAGTACCTAACCTGTATCTTAAAAGCTAACTTTTTGTTAATAGTGTCAGTGTAAAGGTGCCCATACACCTGCCGCTCAGCACTGCGATCATTGGCAAGTCCTCCCCTCAGCGGGGAGGGCTTGCGATGATTACAAGTACAATCTGCCTGTCCAAGGTGGCCAGATCGTACAAACTTTTAATGACCTTACAACAATCGCATAACGAAAGTCGTGCGACGGTTGTAAGGTGTATGGCCAGCTTTATTGCAATGCTCCCAGTAATATAAAGCTAATATATATAAAACAGGTGATTTTTATTTTCACAAGCACTAACTGATGTGTCAGCAGACATTCCAGACTTTGCCATTGGACTTTACACAAGAATTTGTTGCATCTGGCAGTTCCATTTTTTTTGTTTTTCTCTTGTTTGATAGACAAGCCCCACAGTCTAAAGGTGGCCATACAGTGTACACTATTCATACAGAAATCGTGCACGAATGGTCTTTTGAACAGAAATCGTTGATGGTACATCACCATTTTTTTTTGTTTTTTGATATTGTGATGGAAATTTTTCGTTCGGTCAGGTTGCTAATTTTTTTTCTGACTGAGCTAAAATCGATGAATCAGTGGGGGTTTCATTCGACAAAAATCTCAGCAAGAACACAGCACATGCACAAACGGAAATTCTTAACGTTATTCATCAAAAATGTGTTGGTTAGTAGCTAACTAACTAACAATTTCCCAAATCGACATTTGCCTATGCTTGATGGGGAAGTCTAGATATATTCGAACGAGGGTTCATGGCGGAAACAAAACATTTAGAACGAATATTATACAATGTATGGCCACCTTGAAGCAGAAGCAGTGGTAGATAGAGGGAAGAAGCCCAGTTTAGCTTATTTTACAATCTCTTCGTCATAATTAGAGCCGAGGTGTGACACTGAAGCTGTCACATGCTGGCTCTATGGACCAAGAACTGAGTGACTACATACCACCGATCGATGACTTCCTGATCTCCAGTATTCCCCCACCCCTCAGGGATCCCCTCCTTTACTCGCCGTTCCTCCAGCGATGTACAGGGAATGGTGCGGGCACAGCTGGCTCCAGATCTAGAGAGGCAGACCCAGCTGTCAATCAGGTGACGGGGTGGATCCTGACAATATTGTCGGGATCTTTCCTGGCGGCATCAGCATAGAACAGGCAGTTGCTGAGTTTTGGGACACAGGAGGACAGTAAATGTGCCCCTGTGACCCGAAAGAGAACTATGGCCAAAAAAGGTGGTGCCAAAGTTCTCTTTTAACCCCAAAGTGTTAGCGTTATGCCAGGTGCACACTAAGGGCAGGACCAGATCTGGTCGGGAAAATGGTGTGAGCTTGCCGCAGTTCTAGTGCATTCCAGACCTGACAAAATGAGACGAGCAGTATTTTTCTTGTCTGGTCTGGAATGGACTGCGCTGGTGAGGCCAGACATAGCATAGGGATACATTAGGATGCATTTTGGATCCGGAAACAATCTGGTCTGGAGATGATCTGGATGTGGTGTGAATGGGCCCTAAAGCCAGGTACACATGGAGCAACTTTTGTTTTCAGCTGGAATCGGCCGAAATTTGCTCTGTTGGTGACCTTATTCCTTCAGCAGAAGTCGATCATTAGATCAACTTTTGTCAAAGGAACAGCTTGGAAAATCTTCGGCTGGACGGAGCTTGCAGCCAAAAAGCTGCAAGCTATGTTCGGGTATTCTGACAGGGGCCGGCGGCTGTTATCAGAATACAATAGCAATCGTGCCTCTATGCTGTTCAGCGTGGATGGAGGAATCTGTTATATTTTCTTTTTTCAGCCGACAGGTTTACAAACAAAATATACACCTCTATACCCGACTTAACCGAGTGGGACTTGCTTCTGGCTGCGATTGATCTAATGGCACATGGTATATCATAAGCATTGACATCTCCTAATCAGATTATGTTCTCCCCATAACGGAAACTCAAACAGTGACTGGGGATCATGAATGGCCACATTACTACTACTGACTAGTTTGTTCTCTACTTAAGGGGTTACTGACTTTTTTTTTAGTTCTACCATTTCTCTTTTTGCCTTAGTTTGGAGTCCCAAATCTATGTGAACCCAGTGAAATGATTATAGTCAGATCTCAAATACTAAGGCCCCGTTCACACTGAGCGATTTATCGTGCGGTAATTCCCGCGATATCGTGGCTATTTACCGCGCGATATTGCTCTCCAATGCATGGCAATGGGGCAAAGGATCCTGCTGTCGCGGGTCGTGCGTTGCTACAGCAGGACCCTTTTTGGAGTGGATTTTGCCGCGATTCAATGCTTTTCAATGCAAGCATTTGCGTGATATCGCGCAAAATGCAAATCGCGTGATTTGCGAATCGCCAAGTGCGAATGGGGCCTAAATGTAGGATACTCTTTTGGGTCCAAAGCAAGTGACTTCACCTTATATCGGTTACGTCGATGCTAGGCCATGGAAAACCAGAACTCTTCTTTTTAGAAAAAAAATCATATTGCACCAATAAAAAGAAATCAAAATATTGTTTTATGTTTCTTGTTTAAATAGGTTTGCAGTAAAATGTGCTGTAACACGTACAACCCCAGTGTGCGGCGTGTGTAAAATGAAATCAAGGCAGTGTGGTGAATGATGAATAGAACACAGACTGTGCTGCACATTGAAATAATACCCCCTCCCAGCATGTGGCCTGGCCTGTTTATTTATAGAAAAGCACATAGCTGTGCTGCAGGACTATTTAGGAACCAGCCTGATTTCTATTCTGGTGTCTTCTATTCATGCAGAGATCACATGTATGTTAAAGATTTCTATAGATTTTTGTAATTCATGCCGAAACTCCAACCTTCCCATAAGGGTTTGGTCGTTGTTGTATTTGCATGTGTGACCATTCACCATTCAGTCTGTTGGTGTGTGTGTGTGTGTGTGTATAATGTATTTTCATGTTTTATTGTGGTATCTGGGTTTTAATACCCCCTGTTAGAAGTATATTCTACGATAGATTTATTCAGTTCCTTCTTGATCTTACCATAATAACTTAGATAAATGCTGTGCCCCGCAGGCTGTGTATTTTCATGTTGTCTTACTGTAACTGTGTTACCCTGCCCATTATTCACTCCAAGTCAGCCTGACACCGATCCTGACACGGCATCAAGGTTGTACATGAATTAAAGTGACACTAAACTCAGGAGTGAAATCTTAAAAAATGCATTCAAGCACCTTAATTATTATCAAAAATGTATCTTATTTGTGTATCACTCGGCTGCAGATCCTCAGATCATCTCTGAATTGGTGCTGACACTGTCCTTCCTTCTGGAGGGTGGCTACTTTTCTTCCCCATGGTCCCTGTGTGTGTTGTAAAGTAGTCACCGCTCCAAACTCACTTCCGTGATAGGAAACTGAATGTGACATTGTAGTCCAATTTGTAATATAATAGTTAATGTACTTGCATGTCATTTTAAGATTTAACTCCTGCATTTAGTGTCAATTTAACAGGAGCTAGTCCATCCAGTCTAGAAGCCAATAGTGCTTTTTAAGGACCAGCAATAGAAAATTAGGAAGAAATAATGTATTTATTTTCGGGGGGCATTTGCTCTCTGTCTTCTGCAGATGATAGATGGCCCCTTTTGTGCAAACAAAATGCTTCTGAAATGTGTCTGCAGCAGTTTTCTATTTGTTGCACAATATTACACTCTAACTAGTGCTGCAGGCTACTGTAATCACACAAACAGAGCATCTGCTCGTCCCAGCCACTAACTCAGGTCAGTTCATGACTAACAGCATTCCCGTTAATGTCTTCCCCAAAACAAACATACAGCACTTGTATCTGCAATCCACTGATCGCAATGCTTTGTAGGCTCAAATGCAAACATTAATAAATGTACATATTTTTTAATTTTATACATGTGTGTGCATTTCTTTTCCAAATTTGGGCTGGACCTTTGATGCTACAACATTTTAGACAATTGTGTGCTTTCAGCCTTTTAGTAACAATTTCTGGAAATCCCTTTTCTGTTCCAGTATGACTGTCCCCATGTGCTGAAAGCCAGCTCCATAAAGTCAGTTCGATGTGGAGGAACTTGAGTGGCCGGCGCAATTAGAACGCAAAAATGTGAGCCAGGCCTTCTCATCAAACATCAGTACCTGACATCACAAATGCTCTTTTAGCTGAATGGCCACACATTCCACCAGACACACTCTTGTGTAAAGCATTCAGAAGAGTGGAGGCTGTTCTGGATGCAAAGGAGGGGTTAGCTCTGTATTATATGCCATGGTTTAGGTGTGATGACCAGGCGTCCGCAAACATTTGCCCATATAGTGTGTGTGTTTTGTCTGTGAAGTTGTGAATTTTGCATGCAAATGAGTGCTCATTTTACTTTCCTTTTGTTATAGAATAAAGGTTCCCTTCAATTTGAGGACAAATGGGATTTCATGAGACCTATAGTCCTGAAGCTCCTGCGGCAAGAGTCCGTCACAAAGCAGCAGTGGTTCGACCTCTTCTCGTAAGTTCCTGGAAAAGTGGTAGATTTGTATCATTCTGCTGAGAAATTCTCATCAGAGGAACATTGTTTTGTGGTTGCTGTGACTTACAAACACATTCATTTTATGTGATAAAGGAATTTTTAAGTGGTCACTAAAATCATCTATTGCAATATAAGTATGCTACATGAGTAACAATAAATGAAAGTCTGTTAGACTTCCCAGTGTATGAGGGAGATGTAGAAAGAAAATAAAGGGAAGCAGCACAAGGAGCCAGTCAGTGGTGCTGCAGTTAAAGATGCATTGTGATAACAGAAAAGAGTAGCGTGACAGAGAGATGGGTTCATCAGTCTGCTGCTTCTCTTTCACAGTCCAGTCACAGGCTGGGGAAGGGACAAGGTATCCCCTAACTGTGAGCACAGAAAAATCAGATCTTCTTCCCTGCAAGACAGGGCTGTGCTGTGTGACAGAGCTGGACAGAAATACAAATCCTATGGCAAGTAAAGCAGTTCCCTTTTTATATGTATTTTTTTAATCTGTGTAATTTACTATTTATCTGGAGTTCAGGCAGGCATGGCCCACTATTGCCTATACCTAGAAACCAGCCTTGAGAAATGATGTTCAGCAGCAGCTAGAGTTCATGTAGACAGAAAGTGGCTGCATAGAGACAGCATGATGGAACAAAAGGTATTTTATTTTTACGTTATAAAACACTGTGAGGTGGCAAACCTAACTGTTACTCAGTTTACATGTACTTTAAAAACCTCTATCACAGCACAAGTAACAACTACTGTTTATGCGATGTGTTACATTATATTTGCAGCAAGATGAAGATTACAGTTTTGTAAAATGTAGAGGGATTCCTCATCACAGAATACAGTCTGCCCTTCACTTCATGGATCATTTGGTTCTGAAAGACAAAGATAAATTGTGTTTTTTTTATTCTAGGGATGTGCACGCAGTTTGCCTGTGGGATGACAAAGGCCCAGCAAAAATCCACCAGGCCTTAAAAGAGGACATTCTAGATTTTATAAAGCAGGCTCAAGCTGTGAGTAGCATTGTTTCTTCTGTTCCTAACTAGTCAATACTTGATTGTACTGTTCCGTGTGTTGTGCTTTCCAGTTTCTCAGAAAATGTGCGTAAACAAACAAACAAAAATAAAGAACAAAAATAGATGTATGTAATACTTCCCTTGCACTTAAAGAAGGGCTCCACTTAGTAATATAGGGGCATAAAAATAATCATTAACGTTATTCCAAACGAATTACTATAAAGCCCAATGGAACCCTCATTTATTAATATAATGCAGTCAGAGCACATATACAAATGCCAGTAGGAGAGTTAGAATGTGGCTCTCTCCCATACAGCAGCTGACTGACTCGCTCCTTCCCCTCCTGGAACACAGCTTCAGTCAACAGCACTGACCATGGAGCACTTTGTGTGAGAGCCGTGGTCTGACTATCCTATGTGCTGGAAGCACAGGGTATTTTAACCCTTGCTGCAGCACTTGGCAATGTGAAAATTGTAAACTGAGTCCCTTATTTATTATTGTATATGTAGCCTGAATACATTGCAGTAATAAAAAATAACCAGGGTTCTAGTTCTCTAAAAAACATATTGATTATAGATCCCCTCATGCGAAAGGAAAAAACACCCCTTGTCTGTGAGTAGCCATTCCATGTCTTTAGTGTGTAATAATTAGGCAGATATCAAATATGAGCAAAGAAACCTCTGTTTCTGTATAACAGCTAGACTTTCCTTTTATGTATAAAGATATTGAAAGCCCAATTTTGTTTTCCATTTTGAATATAGTAAGGAATGGATATAACTTCTCTTTTTTGCCATTTGTGCCACATTGGAGAGATTTCCCTCCATCTCTTGCCCTGTAGCTACAACAGGGCTTTAGAAGAAATCATTTCCTACAATTTCAGTACAAGTGACAACACCATACATTGCAGGGCTCACATGGACTGCCCTTGAATTTTTACAGCAGAGTTGGCACAGATGATTTTGGCCATTTGGTTATTTCAGTGTTAGCTGCTCTGCTACCTTTTTATAAACGGAGAAAGCAAACAAAAATGATAAACTGGTTATATAAAGCTCTACAGAGTATATTGATGCTGTTTAAAGGGATAAGATACATGTATGAAGATCTAAACCGCTCTGTCTATAGAAGGCATACAACAAACTTTGTTAGGGCAGATTTTCTTCTCACTGTAAGAGAAGGTTCACCAATATTACGTTTTGATAAATTAGGGATGTGTAGATATGACATTTCTCATGTTGAAATTAATCTGTCATGAAAAAAACTAACCAAATAAGTTGCTTTCATTTTCTATATCGGGCAACTAAGAATGCCAGCACAAACTTGTAGTTGTCCATAAATGATCCGTATGCCGCAGGGACTCCCAATATCATGCATAAGTATGGGCATTTATGTGTCCTTTAAGGTGAGCCTTGGAAAAATGGAGAGTACAGGTGCTAATGAAGTTCTCCAGGTAGTCACCAGTTGCTGTACTTCATAGTCATATATTTATTTTATACTTTATATTTGTGTTGGCTTAGATTTTCCTTTTTCATTCTTTCTGGGCTGAAGTTCCGGCAGAAATTCTATCTACAAAGTTTAATCAGGGATTAATCTGTCTGTTTTCTGAAAGGAATTCCATAATTTATGAACGGTCGTTGAGGTCTGGGGACCAGGTTAAAAACTCAGTTTATATATCATCTTGTGCTAACAGAAAAAATGGCCAGATATGTGTGCTTGTATATGTTTTTAAAAGTATATTGCAGTCAAAATTGAAAGTTAAACTAAAGCGGACTTGACCCGAAAAGGGTCTAAGCCTGGTAACAGGACTAATAAAATGCAAATATTTGTTAGTGTTCAGTACAATCCATAGGACTTTGTGGAGCCCCTGAGATCCTAGGCCCAGACGGTAAAAGGTGCCCTTCTTTTCCCAAAGTTAGCATTAAGTCTTAATCTCATCCTTCAGCTGTCAAGTGCCAGGGCTTGTACTGCCCTTTGAGGTTCTAAAATATGATTGGTAAATGGCAAGGAGTAGGGCTTAGGTATGTCAGCGGTTTGTGCCAAATGTGGAGACAATGACTACAGCCTAGAATCAAAGTGACGTCACAGAGACCGATCTGACAAACAGTGGTGTCTGCACTTCAGCTCTTGTCACCTGAGGGTCCGTTCACACCAGCAAGCCATTCTGAATTCATAGCCCCTGGTGTTCAATGACATACTGTGCTCATTCAGTGATCCCAGCGTTACCTACAGTTGGCTGCTCAGAACTCAAATTAAAATGAATCTTTGCAAATAGAAAAGTAGGAGCTGCCATTGTTGACTTGTGTTTAAAGACGAAAGACTGTCGTTGATCCCAACTTCACCTCCTAGTTGTTGATGTGGCAGAAACATTCAGCCAGTGACGTCTGAAAGGACTGAACTCCTGCATGCTTGTTCAATATCAGTGGCTAACTAGGTAGCGAGGATCAGGACTAAAGCTTTGGATCCTCCATTTTTTTTTTTTTGTGTTCTTACAGGTTCTTTTTAAGGAAAACTGTTAACTAACTGGCTCCACTTGTCTAGAATTGCTTTTTAAGCCTTTGGTGACTAGAGGTCATTGACACCGACATGCGAATTTATCAGTGTCTGTTAACTTGACAATAACTCAATGACTAACTTTCCTACCCAAGTAATTTCACCTTATTTGTTAAGGACATATAAGACTTTTATTTGGTATACTGTTTTATTAAATGTGCAGCTTTGTCATTTTTTTTTTTTTAAACTAATGTTATTTTTTCACTGAATTTTACTGTAGAAGGCTTTCTCTTTAACAGCTAGCTGTCCATGTTCCACAATGAACGTTCACTGGGAAGGAGGTTTTGTTTTGTCAATAAGTCTATGTGATCACTGATTGGGAACAATGGTAATAGTTTTCTCCCTTTTTTGGGTACAGGGAGGCAGGGGTGATTGACGCCCCTCAGGTTTTTACTGCTGTCTGTAACTTCAGTGGTGAGATATCTCTTAGTCCTGGTATAGCTGTCCTAGGCTGGTAGTCCAGGTTAAAGATAAGTGACTGCTTCACTGGCCTGAATTATGGATATATCCATATATTCCTATATAGAAACCAGTAGAGGGTACAGGGTGAAAAATTCTGTATCGGGATGCACTAGTGGAGTTTCCATTTCTCCATATGAATATATGGAGGATTCACTGGCCAGTCACTCATTATCAGTCTGTTTTTTTTGTAATCCATCCATTGGGAGTGAGTCCATCTTGGGTTGGGTTAATAATATTTAATTTTTTCCTTTTTTCTTAGAGAGTACTCAGTCATCAGGATGACACTGCTTTACTGAAGGCTTATATTGTAGAATGGCGCAAGTTCTTCACTCAGTGCGACATCTTACCCAAACCCTTCTGTCAGTTAGAAATCACTTTAATGGGGAAACAAGGAAGTAACAAGAAATCAAATGTGGAAGACAGTATTGTTAGAAAGGTAAGCCTTTATTAATGGAAAAGTTGAACTTAAGTTATGTCATTACATGTGCCATGTAGCATTCTTTTCATTGGTAAGGTTGACTATAGCTATAGATATCTGAAAATGATGATCAGGAAGACATCTAAACATATTTGCTTTATTTCTGTGCTGCCGAGATCCATGACGGTCTTCTATTGTTCACATGCACAATAAAAGTTTGTTCACGTTTTCATTTAAAAAAAATGTTTAATATGTATCAATTTGAACAATCTGATGCATTTTTTTTTCCTCTGTTGGCTCTAGTGTAAAAAAAAAATTCTGAAGACAGTAAAAACCAGGCTTGGGACAAAGTAGTATATACTCACTTTTTGGTCATATTGTCATTTGCTTCAGACCCCTCTTTGTAATAGCATTTTGGAGTCTCTCTCTTCCTTTCAAGGTTCCCAAGAGCAGCAACCTAAAGTATCTCATGAAGATAGACACTGGTGTTAGTTTGTGTTTTTATGTTGGAAAATTTAGCTTAAGGCCCCTTTCAGACGGCCTGTGGTCTCCACTGTTTGTGGTGCATTACTTCAGTAGAATATCCCATTGAGACTTAAAAAATAAAACCCTGTATTCAAGAGATGGCAGTATCAACTTCTGAACGCCTGGTAGCTGTTGCTCCAGTGCCTTCTGAAAAGCGATCCACCACAAATCGCTTTTTGAGAGGGTGGTGGGGACGACAGTCTCAGTGACGCAGTCCCCTTCACTTCAGTTGCTGCAATGTGTACAGCGTTGTGTGGCCACAGTGCTGACATTGCAGTGGGCAGCTGGAGGGCGGTAAAAGACAGAGACATCAACCGAGATGCCAAAGAGGCCTTAGAATGGAAACCGTAGGACTAGCAGTTCCATTGCTGCTTAATAAGAAAAGGAAGCAGAGATCGGTTACTTCTTGGTTCAAAGCCACTGTTAAATACTGGTCTCTACTTTTATGTACTGAGACTTTCCCTTCCCCTTTGCTGTAAGATGTTAGGATTGTAAAGGCATTGAGGTCTTCAGTGTCCCTCCAATATAGCAGTTTGCCTTTCCATCTCTCCCATGCAAGCCTCAGAAGTGCTCAATCTTTATGCTGTGTCTTCAATCATATATATAATGTGACACTGAGCAAAAATGTCTCCCTAGCGGCCACCTATTTTCCTTGTTAAAATAGAAGCAATACTAAATGAAAGTTTTTTATTTCTACTTCTATCCTTTAGTATGGACAAGCTCTTTTTGAGTTCTCCAGTTTACCTTATAAGCACTTGTACACTCTCAACCCCTAATCAGTGTACTTGTGACAGACAGTAATCAGCAACATGGTACTTAGGAAAGGGACAGAAAAGTTCCTGTGGACTAAACACAGAAGACCAATCTAGCAACAAACATTTGAGAATACTTAGTTGCATGTAAAAGGTGTACTTTTGTCAAGGTAGACCACTTGGGCATACTTACCTCAAGTTAATCATGGGGAGAAAAACAGAAACAAAAAAGATTGCCCAGTCTTAAAGTCCTGTATTGTATACCAATTTTTTTGCGGGCTTAGAGCGAGCGAGCGTGCTACTTGTCACATTAACTCTGGTCAATGAGACAAACTGCTAAAGCTATTGGATCAGCATGAGAACTTTCCAGAGCTTTCTAATTCTTTTCTCTGCAAAAGATTTCAGACACAAGGCTGTGCTGTGCATCAGTGCCCAGGCTTCAACAGCCATTGCAGGACAAAGAGGCCCAAGACCACAAGCATGATAGTCTTGGAGCTGCTTGGTACTAATAGTGCAGCTGAATGGCTGATCTTCTGAGCTGAACAGTATATGATATAAGGTTTTCCTGAAAGTAGAACATTTTGAAGCAACTCTGTCACTAGAATTAAAACATGCCGATATGGCCTGCCAGAGCTAAAGCTTGCTTTAAATCCTCATTATTTGATACATCCGGGAGTATTGGCTGCCTGCACCACAGTGCTTCGAGGGGGACCACAGAAGTGTGTTGGATGTTGAGGATTTTTTACTAAGCTTTAGCTATTCAAAAGAGTGAAGATTGGAGGTGTAGGTGGCGAGACAGGTAAGTATTAATTCTTTATAGGCAGGCTTTACTAGGTACTGGCAAGCTGCAATATATTTCATGTTTGCTCTAGGCCCTAGATACACTTATGCTCTTATATGCAGGCCATGTACTCAGAGAAGACCTTTTTGTTTTACAGTGCATAGACATATTACACCAGATTCAGGTTGAAACTGTTTCTTATGTTTAGATGATATAAATACACTTGTGTTTACTTTTTTCACTTGGTTTTATTTCTCGCCTTACAGCTAATGCTGGATACATGGAATGAATCTATATTTTCTAATATAAAGAATCGTCTTCAGGATAGTGCAATGAAATTGGTCCATGCTGAACGGTTAGGGGAAGCATTCGATTCCCAGCTAGTTATTGGTGTTCGAGAATCCTATGGTATGTGTTACAAAATGTACCTGCAATCATTTTTATAGTATTTGAACATTGTATTGGTGAGGCAGATTTTATATCTTGCCCTCTTTTATATTGTAGATCATTCTAGACTTGTCAATCTACTCTTCATGAGCACCCATCCTTTAATGGCTGCAGCCCATGTGTCAATTGTTCTGTAGTATAATTATAGATGTTCAAAGATTTCAAACACCTCTTTCTTCTGATATGTACTTTGACATTGAACAGTACTAATTCAATAACACATTAGATGTATGGAATGAAAAGTTCACAACATAACTTGATAATAGTCACCCACCCCTGGTTGGCTTTTTCTGTCAACTCAGCCAGAAATGGTCTAAGAATAAAGCTATTCCGTATAGCAGACAATGCCATTTACAGCCACTGAAAATACAATTACAAAACACACTCTGTATTTACTTTTCTGTTGGTCAGTGTGGTAGATCTACACCCTCTGTTACACTGCTGTATTGCTCACATAGCTTGTCGCCACTGGGTGCTGCAGCTCATCCTGCTGACTCCAACATCACTACTGTGGTCTGTACTATGTCTTATGGTGATGTGAGGGTCGACGGGAGAAACCACTGTGCATGGCCTGAAACCTACTGTTTGGCACTGCACCTCTTTAAGAGAATAAAACATTAATATCCTTTAAAGAGTGCTTTTGATTTATATTTTTTCAGTGACAACATGGTTGCTTTTAATTCTCAAATGAAGCGAGTCATCTGGTTTCTTTGGAAAATGTCTCTACTTTGCTCATTTGAATTTTTGGGTGCATAAATTTGCACCACCAACATCCTACAGGGAGTCATATTTCCTCTACAATGAGTAACAGATCATATATGTATTTGAAACACTATTATGTGGTGGTGTTATTTTGCTGAAGTATATCTAAAATCAAATGGTAAGGGTAGAGCTAGTTTTGTTGAGGTTGATGAAGAATAATAGAATGGCTAATACAGTTACCTTTCCTTGAGATAATGCACTTCAGGCTCCTTTTGGTGCTGACCATGTGTCTTAATTGATGGAAACTTGATAACATGAAGGCTGTACTGAAGAGAGAGCCAACTCCTACCCCCTTTAGCTAGATCACTTGACCAAATGATTAGTTCTTGAGGTGGGTAGCATTCATGGAAGTTAGTCTGCTAAAAGTAAGTGTATCAGTCCTTTTGTTACTCTCCTAGCCAGGATGTTTAATATGGCTTTAGTTGTACATATATCAGATTCTCCAAAATAAATTGTTACCTTGCCCATGCAAGACAAAGTGACAGAGTTCATAAAATGGGCACCCCCCTACCTCTGTATACTTGCCTCACCTGCACTCCCTTGCAGCTTCCTGGTCCTCCACAGCCAGTGACACTGCCTGGCACTTCTGGGTATAGTGGCCCTTGAAGGCTACTCCCCTGTGACAGTACCCAGGCCTAGCTTCCAAGAGCAAGGACTAAGCACTGTTTACGTGACTGGAGTAATCACCACTGCCTCGGGTCACCAACACATTTGGATCTCAGCACTAGCTGCAGAGGAGCGAGGAACTGTGAGGGAGCACAGATAAAATAAGTATAGGGGCGTCAGGGGATGCCCTCTTCAGAGACAAGGTCACAGGGCATGGTGAAATCATCTCTTTAATCTACCGAAATTATTTAGAATTAACGGCAAAATCTGGACACTTCTGAAAATTAAGCATTCAGATATTTAAACATATCCTACCTATCCAGGGCTCCTTTGGCTCATTCAGGCATAGTCAAACTGCAATTGGCCACCATGCTGCTTGGCTACAAGGCATTTATCTGGCATTCTCTGAATATCAATTTCTAAACCTGTGAATGCAGAAGTTCTATATTGCCACCACAGGCTCTTTGCGGTGTCTCAGAAAGAGGGAAGGTGTGCAGAATTACAAGAAGCTGTTGGCCTGTCCAAGAAGACATGTGAGGAGCCTCTGTCTTCCATGAATCACTCAGATCAAATTAAAAATAGAGTGGACTTTCACCATTGGCACAATATTTTCTTAAATAGCTTCAGCCAAAATGTGATTAACTTAACTTGTCATTTGACTTGTTTTTGTGTACATGGTATGTGTGATTTCTAAATATAAATGAACAAAATGTAATTCCTCCATCATATACTCCAGCAGTGGATTTCCATATAATTACTTTTAGCATTGTTCATTAATAAAGTACAAAGAACAAAACTCAAAGTATGGTTAGCAATATTAACCAATCAGATTTGCTTACTGAAGTCAGAGAACTGGAAGATGAATTTAGATTGGGTGATGTGGGATTCAGACTTTGTCTCGCTAAATAATTCTGAAAGACTATTGGTCCTGTGATTGGGCTGGGGGCGGAGCCATACCCGTTGTGTGCTGCCATGGATTGGTGTCAGGAAATATATATATCTATGTGTGTTATTCCAGGCATCTTGCAGGTACTGCTTTAAATATTGTTTTTCTGTGCTGCGCCTCTCTATCTGGTACAATAGTACAAATGAGAGGCCATTTCAACTGTCTGCAAATCATAAGGCACCTCATTGCTTTTTCAATGTATCTGATGCACTTTAAAGAAAAAACAGCAGTATAGCCACATTTAGGCCATTGCATTGTTTTATAAATAGGCCACTGAGTCTTGGTATTGGGACTCCATGTTGTATAATTAAAACAGTGGCTCCATTTACAGTGTATTGTATAGTTTTGACAACCCCAAAATAGATTCATTTATC